ACAAGTCTTTTTTTTTTTTTCAATAATACAGATGAACAAAACTAACAATCAAAAATAAAAACTGTTGTCAAGATGTGTGGGAGTTCCATTTGTGAAGAGACAGAAGTGCAATAAGTGTAGTGAGGTGAGAATGAGATTGAACCTGTTTGGCCTTTTGTTACATCTATTTGGCAAAAGTTCAAATGAACACGGCACCAAACATCTACGTATAGAGAATCAAATAAAAGAAGAATATAATTTAAAAAAAAGTTTATTATTTTTGGAAAATTGTTCCACTCATTGGGTCTGATAAGATAAGCCTTTTTATTCTTCAGAGCGTCTACAATTTTCTTTCTCTGTTTTTCTTTCTTTATCTTTCTATTTTGCTATGAGTGTATTTAGCTGGACTTCTTCAACTGGAGAAATAAAACAGCCCAACAGTGTTTTGACAGGACAGAAAACAGCGTTGATGTTTGTTTTAAAATGAATGAAATTAGTAAGCCCTGCAATCACAACTAGATGTAATCAGCTTGTCCTTGGCAACATGTCGGTTACATAAAGTTAATATTAATTCAGATGAAAACTGGAGCTTTTAGAGTGTTAATTGAGACTCAAAGTGTAATTAATAAGAAGTTATACATTGTGTAATGGCAATGCTATTATGTTTAGTATGTACTGTAATACATAAGTAGATCTAATTGAATTAACAAAGCCTCATTGTAATTCAAAGTAAAATCACTTCTGCAAGTCGAACATTTGTTATGATGCTGGTTAACTCCAGTTAGAGGTAGAAAAAGTTGACCAACAAATTGAATTTAGAAATGAGTGTGTAATTAAAAAAGACGAAAAACAGTTCTGCTTTTCACTAATCATCGCTCTTTGTCTGTGTAACACTGATTATCCTCCTTGCTGGCGCAACATTGATTATCGCCCCCTGTGTGCCAAGAGCCCCTCTGAGTGGATCATTGTTCTTAATCCTTTGACCTAGCTACCTCTCCTCAGCACACCTTGGATCAGGTCCTCTGGTGGTTGCCTGGCACTCTGGGAAATAGGGTAAACAATTAGGAGATTAAGTGGCTCTGACTAAATGTTGGCCATCTCCTATTGAGAAGACCCATTCTGGTCTACAATGCGCCGGTCTGGGCTCACACCCAAACTCTTTTCTTGTTTTGGTCCCAGAGAAGGGCTTGAAGACTCATGGTGGCTAAAGCAGGCTTTCAAATCTTTTTTTTAATTTAATTTTCAAGCCATATTTTCTTCCATGGCACCTGTGCACCAACATTCAGACAGTTTGCCGAATTCACATTCTGTTTTACTAAAACCTACATATCACGATGCACATATGACAGCTTTTTCAGTCATAGAGCCTGACCACATGCATTCATTAGTACAGTTTTGACATGATTTGGTAAAAGTTGTAGGAGGCCTGATTCAATATACCAGCGTGTCTGGTGTTCCCCTAGGACAAACAAGTTTGCAGCCTGTTGAATGTGACGTATAGCCAATCAGACAGTAAAGAGATGTAAACCTGGAGCAGACATGCCAACCTCTTTGGACGTTTACCTGTATAAAGAGCCCCAAAAATCAGTAAATTTCGCAAAAAATCCATACCACTCGCACACGCG